CTTGCTCACATCCCACGCTGGGATGGCCCACACACAATCTGTTCCCAACCCAAGCACCACACTGCACGTGATCTACTGTGTTACAAGCATCTGGAAAGGAAAGGGGATGTTCTCTGCAGATCTGATGCCTGCTCTCCCAGGCCGCCAGCGGAAACCCATGTCAGGACTGGAAAGTCCCAAATGATGCAGATGCTTGGAGGAGGCTGAGAGGGAAGAAAAGACTCTAAGGCAAACAAGGGTCAAGTGGGGAATGACAAATGGGGGGTGGAAACTCTCATCTCTTTTTGGTGGCTTTTCCAAATGAGCTGTAATTACAGGATAGCCAGCCTGGCGAAGTGCTGGAGTATATTCAGAGCCTCTTAACAAGACCAGGGTGTGCTGTACAAGTCCGCAGCCAGGAACAATCGCTGTCCTGAAGAGCTTGTAGTCAAACTAGATGGGGCAGACAAAGAGAAGGGGGCAGGCTGGGGCTTTTGGAGAGGGGATATAACTCACCCAGGGGAGTTACACCCCCAGAATTCAAACTCTGTCATAAAACATAAGGGTCCAGGCTGGGTCCCTGGACCCTTCAGCTGGAATTACTGAGCAATGCATAGGAAGGTACCAGGCTGCTTTGGCAGAACGGATTTGGAAACGAAGTAAGATGCACCCAGCAAAGGCAGGCTACGCCCAAACTGCAAGGGCTGGCTCCACCGTTGGAGCTGCTTCACCTTCATCTCATCTTTGCCACCATCCTTCCAGTGCCATTATTTCATTATGTTCTTGGGATTGTATTTCTGCCCCAGCAATCACCCCTTCCAAGGGCTGCTGATGCAGAGACCATCCCCCTGCCTTTCTCGATGCTTGTTGCACAGTATATCAGCCCCTGGATCAAACTGAAGCCTATGCACCCCCCTCTCCAGAGACACGGGCAATTTCTTAAGATTATTTTTCTTACTTAAAATTATTTTTCTCTGAAGCACTCATTGGGTCCCGCTGGCTATTTCCTCCTCTGCCACCCTGGATATAACCCTCCATGACATCCCGGTTCGTCCCTGCAGAAGCAGTGATAACATCGGAAGTTATGAGCTCAGGCGGTGGATAAACAGAAGGCAAATTCTTTAAAACAATGTGGTTTTTTTTCATGCTTGCATCCACAAAAAACAAGACAATGCAAGGCACCGAAGCGGCCTCGACCCCAAGCAGAACAGAGTTCCCAGGGTTTGCCTTGGGCCCTGCCTTCCAGTTTCTTTGCTAGAGAGCAGAAGCGATCTATGATTGAAAGCCTTCCCCCTCTAGCGGGAAGCCTGAGAATAGCCTCCAGGCCTGGTTCTCAAATGATCAGCTTATTCTCTGGCCCTGTGTTTTATTCCAGTATAAATATGCTCACCTGCTGCATAGGTCGAAACCCCGCTGTTCATATTGCTCATGGAAATCAAGGGAGCACAGCATGCAGGCAACGAGAATCGGGCCAGTTTTCTTCCCCGGTTTGCTGCCACAAGACCCATCCACACTTCCTGTTAAAGCCTGAGCCCACTGACGGCGCTCAGCACCCAGCAGGGAAAGAGCAGGATTGGGCTCACCCCTGCGATTAATTCCAGTTCAATCTGCCTTTTTTCAAAGAGCATCTTTGATGTCTCTGCTCGTTCCTCTCCTGAGCCTTATTTAAATTAGCTGCAGCCAGAAAAATACTCGCTTGCTAGGCCGTCTTAATGCAAAACTCAACAAATTTACATTCAGTTTGCCGCCGAGGTGAAACAAGTCTCCCACTGATAATTGTTCTAGGGGGGAATATATCCCAGCCCCTGTACTATCCATCACGGCTGCACTTATATCCCACATCTGACTGCCCCACGGAGAATTCAGTATATTAAAATCTCCCCCCATTAGCACCTCATTAGAAAATGTTCTGAGGAGTTATGTATATTAACGTCTCTACGCATAACCCCATCTGAGCGGAAATTCCCGAAGACCTCCTTCGAGTCCCCCACAGATCCATTTGCACAAGAACGATATCAAAGTGTTACTCACCTATATCGCAGGGGGGCTAGCCGGCTATTAAGTGCATTACAGACCTATTTAGTTTTAATAGAAATCTCTTTAACGCAACGTAATGCAGACAGTTGGGATCCATTAGCGGGTAGGTCTTGGCTGGAGTTCCCCTCGGATCAGAGAACCAGCCAGGCCTGAAACACTGACGTGTAGATTTGGAGGGGGTTTGGGATTTTTTTTTTTTAATGGGTCCGGGTCACTACGCTATACATTATAGTCTCTGACTATAATGCAGGCATCCTTCCTCTCTTCTCAGTTGGAGATCACAATGGTGATCTTACAGCTCTGCCATCTTGTCTGTGGTCCCCTGGAGAATTATCGATGTCAATATTGATGATGACGGTAGATCATTGGCCAATAATGGGTCATAATAACACGCTGAGAGGTGCTCCAAGGCAGCGAACCCTGGACCCTCTATTGTAGAGACCCTCCCACCCCTAGAACAACCTTCCACCTCCAGCACAAGGAGGTGAAATTAGGGGCACAAACCCAATTATTTTCCATGTGCAGGTTAATCAGTGACATCTGCCTCCAGGTTGGGGCCTGTTCTCTTCTGTAGCGTCCTAGTCTACACAAAAGGACTATTAGGACCACCAGTTTCCCAT